GGTTTTTGCATCGGTTGGCTAGGCCGTGGTTAAGGCAAAAACCATAGGTTTTTGGCTAACCACCCACCCAGCGATGGGAAGAACATCCCATCGATGGGTAAGTAGCCCCTTAGCCAAACCAACTTCCAGAACCATGCCAAACAGCGATGGGAAGCTCTACCCATCGCTGTTCAAGCCTTGGTCCAATATTATCACAAGGAAGAATGCCCTTACCCAGCGATGGGAAGCTTTACCCATCGATGGGAACCCAGCGATGGGAAGGCTTAACCATCGATGGGAAGGCATGACCGTTGGAAGTCATTTAAGGTTGATTCTTTCCTTGTTTGGAAGTCAACCTCCCATCCAGCGATGGGAAGCTTGTACCCATCGATGGGTAGGTGACCGTTGGCTTCAAAACTGAAGGAAAATTGGCCTACCAGCGATGCGTAATGCCCATACATCGCTGGGACGCCAATATCCTGCAGATCCCAAATCTTTTCAATCCCATAAATCAAGCCAATCACCCCTTTAATGCATTGGTCCGTTGGAGCCTTCTTTGGCACTATAAAAAGGGGTGTTTGGGTCTGCTTTTATCATCAATTCACTTCACTTTATTCATATTATCATTGCATCCAAACAACATTATTTTCCATAGCTTTCTAGAGCCAATTTGTGAAGTTTGAGTTGGTCTTGAGCGTATATAGTTTACTCAACATCTACTCTTAAAGAGAGTCTTGTTCTTGAGTGTCTTAGTGTTGTATACACGTTAAGGGAAGCTTGTTTCCCTTGGTTGTACGAAGGAAAGGTATTTTCCTTCGGGTTGAAGTCTTGGAGTGCGGTATCTCCGAGCAAGTGTTGTTGAGGCTCATGGGACTCGAGTTCTCAGGTTGTAACGGTTTGTTAAGCACCCGTAAGCTTAACGGAAGTAGTATAGCTCGAGAGAGTCTCTCGGGAGGCTGGATTAGCCACAAGTTGTGGTGAACCAGGGTAAAATTCGGTGTGCCTCTTACTCTTCTCTTTACTTCTCTATTAAGTTTTTTTTTATTCCTGCGATTTCTACGATCAAACGCTATTCACCCCCCCTCTAGCGTTGGTCACTTATTCAAACAATTGGTATCGGAGTCTAACTCGCGTCCAAACTTAACCGTTTGAGAGTAAAGCGATCATGGGTTCTTCTTCTAGAAATTTGTATGCAGGAATAGGTGAAGGCCAATCAACCACACGGCCACCTCTTTTTGATGGAACCAATTATTCATATTGGAAAGAACGAATGAGAATCTATATTCGTTCCACGAACTTCCAATTATGGTTGGTTATCAAAAACGGGGAAGAAGTACCGATGAAGAAAGTCGAAGACAAGTTGATCCCCAAGACTGAAGACGAGTTTGATGCCGAGGACATCAAAAAGGTCGAGAATTATGCAAAAGCAATAAACATGCTTTATTGTGCCGTAAATCCTGATGACTACCGCAAGATCTCTTGCTGCTCAACCGCCAAAGAGATGTGGGATAAACTTGAGGTGACGTACGAAGGAGTGGACCAAGTACGTGAAGCCAAGATTGACTTCCTCACCCAAGAATATGAAATGTTCAGGATGAAGGAGCATGATAAGATTGACGACATGTTCGACCGATTTTCCAAGATAGTCAACGATCTTCATGCATTAAAGAAGACGTACACCGACAGGGATCTTGTGCGAAAAATCCTACAGAGCTTGACATCCGAATGGCGATCCAAGGCTGATGCCATCCATGAATCAATCGGCACATCAAATGTCACCATCGATGGCCTAAGAGGTAATCTAAAAACCTATGAATCGACTATTCTTAATGCGTCTTTGAATGACCAAAGGAAAGGGATAGCACTAAAAGCCGTCAAAGAATCAACGATGGATGATTCAAGTGACGATGATGAAGTCAAGCTTGTCAAGAAGAAGTTCTGCAAACTTCTAAGAAAGAAAGAAAAGGTTCAGGATGACCCTGTGTGCTATGGATGTGGAGAAGCCGGGCACATCAAGAACAAATGCCCGAAAAACGGAAGGAATGCTCGACACTTCAAAAGGCAAAAGGCGTATATCTCTTGGGGTGGAGACTCCGACGACGAGTCAACCGACCAAGATGAGGATGAAGTTGCCAACCTCTGTCTCATGGCACACGAAGACCAAACCGACGATGTACAAGAGGTATGTACCATTTCTTCCGACTCTTACACTTTTGAAGAAATGCAAGAAGCACTTCACGAACTTTATGATGAATTTGTTAACGCTTCTAAACTCAACAAATCGTTAAAGAAACGCCTTTCCACTCTTGAAAATGATTTTGAAAAGTTTGAAAAAGATAATGAGGAGTTGAAACAAGAAAATAAATTTTATGGCAAAAGAAACGCCAACAAACCGGAAAGTTCCTCAAACGAATGTGAATCTTGTAAAG